CAGACCCTTAATGACTGAGCCACCCAGGGGCCCCAACCACATTTTATTTATCCACTCAGTGGTTGATGGACATTTGGGAGCTATGAGTTTTCCTGGGAGAACTGCTTTCATTGTATCCTTTACATTTTGATATGTTGTTTGTTTTAACTTACCTCTAAGTATTTTTTAATTTCTCTTATGATTTCTTCCTTGATCTATTGGTTAAGATTTTGTTGTCTTATTTCTACATATTTGTGAAATTCCCAGTTTTCCTTTTTTTTTTAATGTCTAGTTTCTATTGTGACCAGGAAAGGTACCCTTATAAAGGATTTCCATCTTCTTAAACTTATTGAGACTTGTTTTGCAGCCTAACATGTGATCTGTCCTGAAGAAAATTCCATGTTACTCACAAAGAATGTATACGCTGCTGTTACAGAGTGAAGGGTTCTGTAGATGCCTGTTATGTCTAATTGGTTCATGGTGTTGTAGAAGTCCTCTGTTTTCTTTTGATCGCCTGTCTGTTTACATTATTGAAAGTAGGATAATGAATTCTTCAACTATCAGTTTATAACTGTTTCACCCTTCAACCCTGCCGAAGCTCTCTTTTTATGTGCATGTATGTTTATAATCATTATGTCTTCTTGGTGAATGAGTCTTACATCAATATATCATGGTTTTCTTTGTCCTATTGTAATTTCTTTTTTTTTTAATATTTCATTTATTTATTTGACAGATCACAAGTAGGCAGAGAAGCAGGCAAAGGGGGAGGGGGAAGCAGGCCCCCTGCTGAGCAGAGAGCTGGATTTGGGGCTCAATCCCAGGACCGTGGGATCACGACCCTAGCCAAAAGCAGAGGCTTAACCCACTGAGCCACCCAGGCACCCCTGTTTGTTTTTTTGGGCTACTGTACCATTTTGATTCCTTCTTCATTTCCTTTTCTATATATTTGCTGGTTATTTTATTAGTGGTTATCCTGCAGATTATAATTTATAATTTTAAATTTAACAAACTAGTTTGAATTAGCTTCAATTTAGCTTCAATAGTATACAAAAAAATCTGCCTCTATACAATTCCATCCCCCCTTTATGTTTTTATTGTCACAAATCACATCTTTGAACATTAATTGTGTGTTCTCATTAACATAGATGTGTAATTTTCATTTTATACATTTGTCTTTTAAATCACATAGGGAAAAAAGAGTTAGAAACCAAAAATATGGTAGTGCTTGCCTGTTTTATTTACCTATAAATACTACATAGTTTACAGTCTAGTTCAGATTAATACCAATTTAATTTCAGTAAGATACAAAACTTTATACCTATATAGTTCTATTCCCACCCCGTCCTTTGTGCCGTTGTTGTCATATGAATTATATCTTTAGACGTTGTGCACCCATCAAGACAGACTTGTAATTATTGCTTTATCCAGTTGTCTTTTAAATCAGGAGAAAAAGAGTTATAAGTAAAAACAGTATTTAGGGGCACCTGGGTGCCTCAGTGGGTTAAGCCTCTGCCTTCGGCTCAGATCATGATCTCAGGGTCTGGAGATCAAGCCCCGCATTGGGCTCTCAACTCAGCAGGGAGCCTGCTCCCCCTGCCCCGGCCTGCCTCTCTGCCTACTTGTGATCTCTCTCTGTCAAATAAATAAATAAAATATATTTTTTTAAAAATAGCTATCCTTAAAAAAAAACACACACACACACACTTATACCATCTTTTATGTATACCCAGGTAGTTACCTTTATCACTGTTCTTTTTGCTTTGTATGGATTCAAGTTACTCTCTAATATCCTTTCACTTCAGCCTAAAGAATTTAGTTTAGTATTTCTGGCAGAACAGATTTGTTAGAAACAAATTTTCCCAGTCTTTGTTTATCTGGGAATACCTTATCTTCTCCTTTTTGGGAGGTTAGTTTTATTGGATACAGACTTCTTGGTCCATAGTCTTTGTGCATTTTCAATATTTCACCTCCCTGCCTGCTGATCTCCATGGTTGGTGAGAAATCACCTGTTGATCTTACTGAGAACTCCCTTGTAGGTGATGAATCACTTCCCTCTCCCTACTTTTAAGATTCTCTCATTGGTTTTTAACAGTTGGATTGTGATGTATTTAGGTGTGGATCCCTTTCAGTTTAACCTACTTGGAGTTTTCTGAGCTTCTTGGAAGTGCAGTGTTCCTTCTGTCCCCCTCCACCCCACCATCTCTATCTCCATCTCTCAACTCCTGGAACTCCTACTCTGCATATGTTGATGTGCTTAATGGTGTCCCACTGGTTTCTGAGGCTCTGTTCATCTTATTCTTTTTTCATTCTGTGCCTCAGAATTGACCTCTCAGTTAACCTCTGTAAAAGTTCACTGATTCTTCTGCTAACCTGCATCTCGTGTTGAAGACTTCTACTTAGCTTTTCATTTCAGTTTTTGTACTTTTCAAGTCCAGAAGTTCTGTCTGGCTCCTTTTTATAACTTTTTAAATCTTCATTGATAGTCTCTGTTTGGTGAGACTTCATTCTCTTCTGGTTTTTTTCAGTTCTTTGTTCACCATTTGCTTTGGTTCTTAGGCATATCTGAGACAGTTGATTTAAAGTTTTTGTCTAGTATAATAAGTCCAATGCCTGGGCTTCCTCAGGAACAGTTTCTTTCATTCTTTTTTTGTCTATGAATGGACTTTGTTGTTTCTTTGCATGCCTTGTAATTTTTGTTGAAAATTGTTCATTTTGGATATTATAATGCAGTAGCTCTGGAAATAGGATTACCCGCCCCCCCATCTGACTTTGCTGTTGCTGGTTGTTGTGAGTTGTAGTTGATTGTTTAATGACATTTCTAAACTATTTTTATGAAGACATTATCATTTTGTTGTATGACATCACTGAAATCACTGTTCCTTTAGCTTAGTGGTTAACTGGTAAGTTGTTAGAAAATTCCTTAAATGTCACCACCATCAGCACAATAAAACTCTTCTGATCTTTGCAGATTGGTTCTGTGGTGTACTCTATCAAAGCTTAGACAGACCTTAATGCAACTCAGCCTTGGCCATCCTTCACTTCTGGTTTATGTGGAGTCTAATGATCAGCCAGAGCTTAAAACTTACTGTCTTCTCAGGTCTTTTCCTAAGCATGCCTTAGCCCTGGGTGTACATGGGGACCTTCTGGACTCTAGTTTATGTGGGAGCTTTTTAAAATCTTTTTTCCTCTGTGTATCTCCTTCCTCAGCCTCTTCCTTTACAGGCCCTCAGACTCCCTGCTGCTTGCCTCACCCATTATCCCTTGCCCCGGGTGGTTGTGGCTGGTAGACTTGCCTTTCAGTGCTTTCAACAAAGGCTGCCCAGGAGGCCACTTCAGCCCTGGGAAAGTTCCAAGTGAGAGAAAACAGAGGTAAGATCCTGAGTTGACCCCTCAGGGAGCCAGGATACAGGTCAAAACATACAACCACAGTTCTCTGAGAACAAAGTTTGTGTTGCCCCCTCTGGCCCCAGGAAGCCAAACCAGGAACACAGCCTCCACAGCTGCCTCTTAACTGGTGGGGTGGGGGACGTACACCATCTAAATTCAAAATCCAGAATACCGTTTTCCTGAAATTTAGTAACTTCTTTCTTCATTAAGCCTTTCCCTGCTTGTTGTTACTTTCTTGCTAAATTCCAGAATTCTCGAAGTGTTAGTTCTGACAGGTTTTGTCAGCTTAATTACTGCTTTTGTGGAGGGACAGGTTTCTGGGATTCCCTACGCCCAGGTATGAACATTTTTGCAGTTATTTTTATACTGATAGAGTGCTCTCTAAAAAGAATAAGACCATTTTAGAGTACCAGCAGCAATGTATTTCCTCACAGCCTTGTCAGCATTTATTATAAATTTTTAAATTTTGAATGATTTCATTGTGATCAAAGAACATTTCATAGGCATATTGATTTGAATGTCTTCCACTTTTGTTGGGTCCAAACCCTTGTTGGGTTAGTGTTTGTTTTTTGGTAATTGGTTGTTTGCTAATATCATTCAGATATTAGCCTTTCGTGTACATTTCAGCTCATCTAATCCTGAGCCTGAAATGATGAGCGATGTCTGTGTATGTCTGTGTTCCTTAGCTGTAGATGGACAGTTCCTAAGGAGAAAGCTTGTTGGGCCAGCCCTGGGTATCTTTAAATCATTCACTCATTCAACAGAAATGCACCAAGTCCTACTGTGTGCCGTGTCTGTGCTGATTCTGGGAAAATGACAAGGACTAGAGAGCCTTGTCCTACCCCTCGTGAGCAAACATTCTTTCTTGGGGTGACACTGAGTAAGCAAGACATGCAGAATGTCATCTCAACACAACTTTTCTGTTGAGCTGTGCTAGTTTGCTTTTCTAAAAGTTTTTTTTTTTTTATTTTTTTTTTCCCGAAGATTTTATTTATTTATTTGACAGAGAGAGATCACAAGTAGGCAGAGAGAGGAGGGAAGCAGGCTCCCCGCTGAGCAGAGAGCCCGACGCAGGGCTCAATCCCAGGACCCTGAGATCATGACCTGAGCCGAAGGCAGAGGCTTAACCCACTGAGCCACCCAGGCACCCCTCTAAAAGTTTTTTTTTTTAAGTTGATGTCCAGGGCGCCTGGGTGGCTCAGTGGGTTAGGCCACTGCCTTCAGCTCAGGTCATGATCTCAGGGTCCTGGGATCGAGTTCCGCATCGAGCTCTCTGCTTGGCAGGGAGCCTGCTTCCCCTTCTCTCTCTCTCTGCCTGCTTGTGATCTCTCTCTCTGTCAAATAAATAAATAAAATCTTTAAAAAAAAAAAAAGTTGATGTCCATACACTTGCCTATCACATCCTTGAAATGAAAGGTCACTTGGAGCCCCTTTCACCCCAGCAACTTGATCTTCATGATGCATGCGCTTGGTCCTTAGGGTAGAATTGGAGGGGGATTTCCATCCTGGGCACCAGTGGGCACAGGCCCTCTTCTGTAGCGAACCTAGAGCTTCCGAGCCTTTAGCTTCCTTCTGGAAGCTCACCTCATCTGACAGACAGTTCCTTCTAGGACAGGAAGTCCAGTGGTTTGCAGATGGCCGGGCCTGAGGAGACTCCGCCAGCCCTTCCTCAGGACGAAGGTAGGTGTCTCTCACATGTACAGGTAGAGCCGTTCTGAAGCTTGTGGCCATGAGGGAGTGGACAACTCATGGTTGAGGGATTCTGCTCACATTCTGCCCACATCAATCCTGAGTTGCCTCCTCTCCTCACCCAGCATGGCACAGTGGCCAGGATGGTGGTGGGTAAGTGGGGATACCACAGTACTCCATCTTATTCATAGGGGGCCAGGAAGCTGAAGGGACGTCCATCCTGTTGCCCAGCCTGACGGGCAGCTGCTTCGACCATCCCCTGCACCAGAGGCTCCTCCATGCCACCCGGCGCTGCAGCAGTCCTACCTCAGCTCTAACGCCTAAGGTGTCAAAGAAGCCCAAGGTGCATGCGGCCAGGGACATGTTCCCCATTGACTGGAGCCCGCCACCTGTAGAGTTCCTGAACCTGAGGGTACCGCCAGCAGGCAGGGGAACCCCAGGCCCGAGGTGGGTTGATGCAGTGGGGCCTAACGGCCTGAGGACATGGGCCCACCAGCTACCTGACAAGTTAGAGCAGGAGCCCCAGGACTCGGACCCTCAGGGGAATCTGGCCTCACTGGAGGAGCCGTTCTGGAACATGGCAGGCCCGAGCCAAAAGGCTGAAGTGATGGACATCCACACCTTGGTAAGCTGGTGGACTCCCCTTGGTCTCCTCTCCTTGCCACTCCTCCTCAGTCACCCCCGCCACTCCCTTTTTGGTCATTCTTCCTTGGCCATACCCCAGCTGCCTTTCATTGGCCAGCTCCCTCTAACTATCCCTCATCAACTGCATACCCTCTCGACCTCTCCCCAGCCCTTGGACCCTTGTGGCTGGGGTGCATCTCTCCCCATATTTCTGCTGCTAACCTCTGCTAATAGTTGGCTTGGGGTGGTGCCAAATTTGATGCCACTTTTGTATGGCATCAAGGCTTTTGTGTCTAAGGTTGAGGATATCCCCCTGGGGAAAGGGGGACCTTGGTGCCCCGGTCTAAGCTAGACCAGGCACAAAGACTCAGGCTGACTCGGGTACAGTGGATTGGAATGTCTAAATGGAAACTTTAATGAGGAACTTTAACTTGGGTGGGAATAAACAGCTCTTGCTAGGTAGACTGGGAACAATTAGGGGCCCACGGATCCAGGAAATTTATTTTAAGAATAGGACTTAATTATTTGTTTTGCTTATTTTTTTTCTTTTTAAATAGAGGTTATTCCTTCTTGTGGGAAGCCTTTTTTTTAAAGACCTTATTTATTTGTCAGAGAGAGAGAGAGCACAAGCAGGGGGTGCAGCAGGTGGAGGGAGAAGCCAGCTCCCCACTGAGCAAGGAGCTCAACTGAATCCTAGGACCCTGGGATCATGACCTGAGCCAAAGGCAGACATTTAACCGACTGAGCCACCCAGGTGTCCCTGGTCTTAAATATTTCAAATAGCTCAAGATTGGCAATAATCCAAATGCCCACCACTAGGGAATTAATACATTATGTCCTAGTCCTACATTAGAGTACCCCGAAAGTTTTTTTTTTTTAACTTACTTCTTTAGTATTGATATGGAATGACCCTGAAGACATTCTATTAATTGAGCAGAGCAAAGGGTAGAATAGGGTTCATAGTTTGCTACCATATGCTTTATGGGTAAGGGGAAATCTGTGTTGTATTACTGTTTGTTTGTCTGTGGATAAAATGTCTCCAAAAGCACAAAGAGAAGTGAACACCTGTGGTCACCTGTGAGAAGGGACCTGGGTAGCTGGGGATGCTGGTGACGGGAGACATCTTACTGCATGCCTTTATGCTTCTTGAATTTTTAATCATGTAAAGGTATTGCTTATTCAGACACATAAACAAGATAAAGGGCTTAATTGAGATTAATTTTATTCTTCTCCCCCTTTGTCTGTCTTTCTGTCCACTATTCTCATGTTCCACTGCTCCAGTTCACCTCTGGGGCCTCAGAGAGCTACGTCAATAGCTTAGACTACTTACTGCAGGAGAAGCGGTAAGTGTGGGAGGAGGTCCTTCGTGGGGTCTGCATTCTGTGGGGTGGGCATTGATTTCGGGGGATTGTCCTCTAAGACTCCTAGCACCTTCCCCTCAGGATCGAGCATCCTACCACCCTCCTGCACAGCGTGTCTCCGGGAGTGCAGAGCGCCCTGTGTTCTCTGATCAATAGTAAGCACATGGAATGGTAGTCAGGTTGAAGGGGGCAGAGAACCCCAGACGAGGGGGTCGTGAACCTTGGGTTGGTGTGGAGGGGAGACGGGGAGTCCCTTCCTCTCTTCTGCCCAATTCATGCCCATGTGGGGCCTCTTGGCTCCTGTTCAAGTGTTCCATGAGAGAGAAGGGGAAAAGGCATGTGCCTTTGACCAAGTAGTACAGCCTGAGTATCACCATGCCGGTGATGCGGGCAGGTAAACTCATCAGGGCACCCGGCACTGGGAGATTCTTATTCTGCTGGGTCCCACACCAGGCACTGGGTATTTGGAGGAGACGGTGCGACCCCACCCACCTGGACATTTATCCTAACGTTTCTAGTATTTCCCGTGCTGTGAGGTTGCTGTGGAGGGGCCTGGAATACTGGCACCTAGTTTAACCTGGGGGTCAGAAAGGGCTCCCCACAGGTATCCTTATCTTTGAAACTGGGAGAATTAGAAGATTTGCGGTGTGGGGGGACAGCATGGGTGACAACACGTGTGAAGGTGGGTAGGACGGGTGTTCTGGTGGCTGACTAGAGCTGGAATTCCCAGTGCTGGGGCCTGGGGGCCGGGGGCCGGCAGAGCAGCCAGTGCAGCCAAGCTGCGAACGGGGGCTGGGTCACGAGAGGCCTCGTGAACACAGGGTCAAGTTGGGAGAATTTTAAGTGGGTAGTGTTGTGTTTCCCGCTGTGTTGCAGAGATCGCTTAGGCCACATTATGGAGAATGGATGGGAGGGAGGAGAGAAGAAGTATGGTGAACGGTGATGGGGTGGGGCCCTGGGACGAGGGCAGTGGGGCTATGATGAGTCTGCTGACCTGGGTGGCTGGGACTCTGGAGCCTGTGTGGAAGAGAATTCAGACCTATACGTGTGGCTTCGGAGATGCCCAGGCACATTCAGGTAAACTCATTCAGTTGTCACTGGCGAGGGAGATTCCAACTGTAGACAGTGACCTGGGCTGGAGGTGAAGTCTTTAGGAACTGAGGACTTTTTGGGCAACGCCAAGGCAGGCCCTTGGAGGGGCAGGGCAAGGGCTGGGGAGGCTCTCAGGCTGTTGAAGGGCCAAGGATCCAGAAGGCAGAAGGTTGGACTCTGCCTGCTCAGGGGTTTGATGTGGTTAGGGCAAGAGGGAGGTGAGGGAGTCAGGATTCCAGCAAGATGATGGTTGGCATGCAGGGCTGTGGTGGGGACTGGCCTCAGGGGCTGGAGACCAAAGGGTACGGCTGGAAAGGCAGGCCATGTGTGAGGGACTCTAGGAGCCATGAGCCTGGGGGCCTCCCCAGGTCTGTGTGGCCAGACCCTGGGAGGAGGAGAAGGGGCTAGGCACAGGCCTTGATGTGTTAAAAAGTGGGCAAATACTAAACAAGGTACACAAAGGGAGATTTGAAGTTGTGTAGTGAAAATCCCGATTCCTAGGCCTTGCCATGTTCATGGGGCCTGCAGCTCAGTGTCCAGGTCACTTGACTGGGGACAGCACTGACCTCGGTTGTTGGCTCTCCGCTCCCTGCAGGGACCAGGCCCTGGAGCAGGAACGAGAGCAGCTGCTTCTGCATGACCGTCCCCAACTCAGCTTCCTGGATCTGGATGAAGATGAAGTGCCTCTCACACCTGAGCACAGGTGGGGTATGGGCACGGGAGGGGCTAGGGCCTGGCCACTTTTGGGGGCGGAGGGGAGTCCCTGCACCTGCCTCTCAAGGCAAAGGATTGAAGTGTTGACAGGCTCTGGTTTTCAGAGTTTCAGCCAGCAATTTGTATGTCTTTGTAAGTTCTCACACTGTCTCCTTTTCTTAAACTGACACTCAAGAAAAGCCCTACATGTATTCTTCGGTTACAGAAATATTGGATCACCTACTGTGTATCAGGGTCCAGTGTGGGCCTTTGAGGGCGCAGAGATAGGAAAACACAGCCTACTTGGCCCCAATTTTCCACCCAAATTTATAGAACCGGGTCTCTTGGGGGAATAAATCTACAAAACCACAGTCTAAGATGAATCTGCCCTTAAAGGGGAGAATATGACTGTGTGACATTTTTCATTTTCCCCCATCTGGGGAAAAGAAGATGATGGCTTTTATCAGTGCTGTCATTGGGTGGGTGGGGAGGTATATGCCAGCCATGATCTAACTGGGCCACTGGCTGGAGGCAGGCGGTCTCATCTGCCCTGTAGTGTCTCAGAGATGCTGAGGAGCCACAGCTGAATCCATCATCAGGTTACCCTGTTAGCCATCCGTCTATTCAGCTGGCCAGCCAGCAGACATCTACTGAGTCCAACTTTGTACCAGGCTCTGTTACAGACTCTGGGGATACGGCAAAAACAAAACCAGACAGAAAGCTCTATCCTCCTGCATGAAGAGAGGTGATGAGTGTTCAGGAGAAAGGATAAAGTGGAGGGGGGACAGGAGGAGTACGGAAGGCCTATGAGACTATGCATGAGGGTCAGGGAAGACCTTGATGAGCAGGTAGCTGGCTTCTAGCAGGACACTGTAAAGGAGGTGAGAGGCAGCTCTGGGACCCCGTGGGGGAGCATAGCGGCAGCTGTGGAAGGGAGAGCTGGGGAGAGAAGGTCAGGGAAGCCAAGAGTGGGCTCGATGCAGGAGCTCTTCCTCCATGTGAGCTGACCGCCACTGCTCCACAGGATCCTTTGCTGCCATGTTGAGGATAAACTGGGGAGCCTGGGGCAGAGCAGAAGAAAGGAGACAGGGGCAAATGAGCCATGGTAGTCATCCTGAGAAGTAAGAGGCTGGGAGTGAGGGTGGGTGGTGAGGAGTAGGCACAGTCTGGATATAATTTTAGGGTAGAACTGACAGGATTTGTTGATGAACTGGATGGAAGGTATGGGAGAAAGGGGAATCAAAGAGACCCCCCAGGATTTGGGCCTGAGCAACTGGAAGGTTGGAGTTGTCTAATTAAACTAGAGAAGACTAAGGGACAAAGGCTGCACTGGGGGCACTTGTGAGGTCAAGAGTTCATTTGGGGGATCCCAGGGGCAAGACCAAATAGACAGTCTGGATCACCTCTTCCGGAGAGAGAGGCTCAGGAGTCACCACATATAGGTGACGTTTGAAGCCATGAACTGGATTAGATCACCTGGGAAGCAAGTATATAGAGAGAACAGGGGCCCAAGGAGGCAAAGTAGACGTCATGGTGACCTTGACAAGAGCAGCTCTGGTGGATCACTGAGGGTGGTCCTGACTGGAACAGGCCCATAGGAGAACAGGAGGAGAGGTCGAAAGAGAAAAACGTGCATAGCTGAAGGGGGAATTGGAGTCAGGTTAGATCTTTCTGTATATCTTCCTTTTCTCTCTTTTAATTGGGTCCTCCCTTGCTTCCCTCCCTCCCTCCCTCAGGAACCAAGTGCGCTGGTTGGGGGGTCTTGCGGGGGATGAGGTCACCTCAGCCATGCGGCTTAGGGGAGGTTGGTCAGCTTGCCTTGAATCGTCGGCCTGTCCAAGCTTCGATTTTTTTTCCTGTCAGTTTGAGTTAGGTTATTAAACATTGGTCTAAGTAGTGACAGGTCATGTTTTCGTGCACACTCTTAAGTTAGCATTCTTCTAATGAAGGAAATGTAGAGTCACGACCTACAGACTTCTTTGGAGCCTCCATCTTAGGACCCTCAGAGGGTTTACGTTGTTTTTGTTGCACAGAGATGGTTGTGAACATCACCGTGGCTGGCCATTTGCTTTTTTCCCCCAAGTTTTTCTGATAATCATCTCTGGACTCAATCAGGGATCAGCAAACTCTCTGTATTTGTAAACAGTAAATATTTTAGGCTTTGAGGGCCGTCCAATCTCTGTGGCAACAACCTCTCAGCTCTGCTGTTGTGACAGGGAAGCTCCCGTAGACAATATACAAGTGAATAAATATGCTTATGTTGCAATAAAACCTTGTTCACAGTAATGGGCAGGACTTGGGCACAGACTGTAGTTTGATGACCCCCGGCCTTGGTTAGGAGGACCCCGGCCTCCTCACTGATACTTTCCACTGTGAACCTCTGTGGGTGTTCAGATTGGAACAGCCATCCCACAGAGGATGTGGGTCTGGAAAGGGTGAGGCTGCGGCTGGGGGCCAGCTACCATCTGCCAGAGCAGTTGTTCGTGACCAGGAGTCACATGCCCGCTGTGGATGCCCACCGTAGAAGAGACCCCCAAGCACCCAGAGCCCAGCGTCCCCTCACACTCTAAAGATTGGCTTGCATCTTGAGTGGATGCCATCCTACATTCTCTATTTCTTAAAGTTAAAAGACCTTATGTGTGCACTAGGGCAGGGGAGGGGGGAACATTTCAGCCCTCACATCATCCTTTATCCTCACTTCAGGGCTGCACAGGAAATCCCCAATTAGACATGGAAGAGTCATCTCAGAACTCTTAATAATGCATATACATTACATTTAGTGTCACAAAAGTCCCTTTGTATGATGGTTTAGGGGACCAGACTAAGACCCTCTTATAGATGAGCCCAATTCCTGTAGACTTTTAATAATTTGCAATTCTTCCTTACTATAAGAGCAACAGAAGCCATAGAGCCCCAAAAGCTGAAATGGCAAAGAGAGGAACGAAACAGAAAACTGTTCTCCTGTTTGTGTGGTGGTTCACACAAGTTGCTTGCTAAAGCCTACAGGAGCAGAAGTCCCCTGTGTTTTCATGGTGTTTCCACACCCTGCGCCATTTCACCCTCCAAATAAGCTGGTGATGTGAGCCAGTGATGAACATCGGCCTCTTTCCTCAGGTCGGGGGCCAGAGGGAGGCAGATTTCATCCAGCCAGTGGTAGGCTGCCAGCTACACAGCTCAGCCTGCAGAGGTCTTGTGTCCCAGACCCCAACAGAAGCCCTGAGCATGGTTCCCCATCCGAGTCCACCATCCCAGGGCCCAGGCAGGGGACAGGAGGGGATGCCACACTTGTGGCTTGTTTCATTTGGCTATTTTTCTTGTTGTCGAAGGTGTGTTCTGTTTCTATTGAATCAAGCAGAACACAGTTGTGTGAAATAAGCAGGAAAAGTCTCCTCCCTGCTCCCCCCAAATCCTATTCCCTAGGGATAGCTCAAGCTCATAGCTGGCCATGTCAGTTATGTGGGGGGTGTTGCCCCTGTCTAAGAATGTGTATGTGCCTATGTCTGTGTGTATACCTACACCACACACACGCAAACACACGTACACACTTCCTATTCTGAAACTTGCTGTTTTCACCCACCAGGGCACTGTGGCCAGTCCTTCATGAAGCAGAGATTTGCTGTGTTCGTAGGAACTGTCTTAAATGCCTCCCTTTTCCCTACTCCCTCCTGACAATTTTTACCCCTCCCAGTAGAGTTGGAATGTATCCCTTCTTCTCTCTGTTCCTTCCCTGTCCGTGGGACCCAGCTCTGATCTACTGATCAGATACACAAGGCAGGGCAAGGCCTGGGCATCCGGAATCCCTGGGGAGTCCTCGTGATCACAAGAGCTCACAGACTGGTGCCCCAGAAGAAGCATCCCGGCTCCTTCCTTGTGCTGATGCCCTCCCTGTCCCCGGCCACACCCGAAGCTTCTCTCCTCCGCCCCGGCCTCCACCCACTTGCTGAAGGCTATTGTGGTGATTTGTTTACCCTTCCCTTAGGCATGCGATGGCTGCCCACGCCTGACTCATCCTTCAGCACCTGGCACCCACGTATCGCGGGTGCCCAGTGAAAGTTTGAGCTGAACAAAGGGAATGGGCGGCACTGGGTCTGGGAGCAGGACTTCTGGCTCCTGGGCTAAAAAAGCCCAAAGGGGTGGGATCCAGGACTGAGAGTGGGATGGGGAAGAGCTTGAGTCAGCATCTTGCAAGCTCCTCCTTTACCAGCAGGTGGCGCTGTCCTCCCCAGTCTTCTCCCCACCAAGCTACGGTCACTAAGGCCCGGGGCACCATCTGGCTTTCCCTGGCTTCCTCCTGGGCTGCAGACCAGGTGCAGCTGCTGACTCTCGCCTCTCCGGCTCCTTGCTTTGCCAGGATGCTGGTGGAGAAGTTCTCCGTGTCACCTCAGGTCATCCCGCTGGTGCACCCGGGGGAGACGGTGTTTCTACCCAGGCATCAGCCCCTGCCCTGCATCCTGGACCGTTCACAGCTCAAGCCACGGAGCCACCTGGAAGAATGGTTCCTCAGGTAAATGTTGGCATGGGATGGCCAAGCCCTGTCCCTTCTGGAGCCCAAGAATAAGGGCTGGCCCCAGTGAGGAAACTCAAGGCTGTGCTTGAGTCAGGTGGGACATGTCAGTTTTCAGGATTATAGATGAAATAATCCCACATGTCGACTTACCATATTTAATTTACCGATTTAGATGCACGTACTTTAAAAAGCCCTACATAGCAGCAAATATTAGGTCGCTTGTGTATTTATGTATTCATAGCGCCTTTTCCACCCCCGCACCCTGGGAGCATAGAACTCTAGTCAGACTCACCATACATGCCTCTGGGGTGATGTCTCTGCCAACACTGGAGCCACTTTCTGGGCCATCCAGCAGTTTTCCAGCACACATCATCGTCATTTCCATCTGCTCATTGGAGACAACACCCTTCTTCTGTCCATGTGTGATGCTAGCAGTGAAAAGTTCGTCCCCAGCCCCAAGTGCACACTGTAACATTAGGACAGCTGCCCTGTCACACTCCTCCATGGAAGGAAATTTACGTTCGTTTTACGTAATTTACGCCATGGGTTCTGTTGCTTTTTAAGGGGATTTTAAAAGCTTGACCACAGCCACATCCAACACTTGCAGTTGGGAATTCATCTAAGAACAAGAGAGAAAGCCCGCAGGACTCAGGGCAGCTATCCATTCGTGCTCCTGAGGGCAAACCCTGCTGGGCCTTGGTGGCCAAAGGGGATGGGGAGGAGGCCGCTGGGCCCACACCAGACGGTAGGGAGCCCAGAGGCTGAGCTATCCGTGGTCTCTTGAAAGCAGGAGTCTTATCTTTTCCAGCTCTTCAGGGTTTCCTTATGTCTGTTTCACTAATTCTAAAGCCATCTGATTGTCATGGGAAGTTTCAAGTATACATAGAATAGTGTAATCATTCCCCATCAGTCATCACTCAGCTTCGGCAATCAACTCTAAGGCGATCCTGTTCCGTCTCTACCCCCGCCCACTAACATGATCCCCTCAGGATTATTTTTAAGCAAATCCCAGGCGCATATAATTGAATCTATAAGTACTTCACTGTGTGTCTCTAAAAGATAGGGCTCTATCTTTAGATAGAAGTTAAATGCCATTATTACACCTAAAAAAATCCAAATCCTTCAGACCACTGATATCAGTCGGTGTTCAGCTTTCCTCAGCCATCTTCTAAAGGTGTCTTATATGTTGTGCAATGAAGAGCTCAACAAGGCCCTAATGTCGCCATTGGTCATGATGTGAATGCTGAGAGAATATTGCCTAGCACGAGGCCTCAACACCTTTAGCCATTCTCCTCAGCATATATGTTACTTCTGACCTTCCTCCTTTATAAATGTTGTGGTAGAGAGCATCTTCATACCCAGAGCTTTGTCTGGAGCGTAGCCCCGGAAGCAACACCAGGTGACTGGACCTGAGCATCTGCATATTGGTAAAGGCCGACGTCACCACGCTGAGAAGGTGTCTCATAAAGGGACGATGAAAGGGGGGGAAGAAGCAAGAAGGGTTGAAGGGAAAAGAAGGATAGCAGCGCTGAAGAGAGAGGAGGGGCGGGGAAGGAACAGGAGAGAGGAGAGAGTGCTGCCTCGATGCCTCAGCCGGCCACGGTCTGTGTGACAGCAGGTTTCCTGTCCCAGACTGGACGGCCGGCAGGAAGTGTTTGACAGACAAGAGGGCCCGTGCGGCAGTGACCCGGGGACTGAGCAGCCCTGCCAAATGGGGCCAGGTGGCCGGCCAGCTTCCCCAGAGTGAGGAATTCAGACCCTCCTCCCTCAAGTATGCTAATGAGGCACTGGAGAGGCCGCCTGGCCAGCCCTGGGAGCCCAGGGCCTTTCTGGAGGAATGCCCACCGCCTTCCACATGGTCCGGTCAGAGGGCCCCTGCTACGCAGTGGGTAAGGGCCACTTCCTGAAGGTCACTCTTATTTCCCCTTAGCCTTGGGGTCACTCTTATTTCCTGTTTATGCCAAGGACCACAAACCCAGACACAAGAGAGGAAAATTGTGGTTCAATAATTACCCCGTTGTGTTCAGCCGGAAGCATGAAAATGAAGGGAAAATAAAAAGTTACTTGATCTCATGGGGCGCCTGGGTGGCTCAGTGGGTTGGGCCTCTGCCTTCGGCTCGGGTCGTGATCTCGGGGTCCTGGGATCGAGCCCCGCGTCGGGCTCTCTGCTCGGCGGGGAGCCTGCTTCCTCCCCTCTCTCTGCCTCCTTGTGATCTCCGTCTGTCAAATAAATAAACAAAATCTTTAAAAAAAAAAAAAAAGTTACTTGATCTCTCAAGAGGTAGTATGGTTCAGTGTTTTGCTGTGCAAAAAGTTAACACTTGGAGGTTACAGGTAACTTTTATTTTCCTTATTATACTCTGTATTTTATGAACACATAAACTCATTTTTACCATTAGAAGTTTTAGGGGGAGGGGCGCCTGGGTGGCTCAGTGGGTTAAAGCCTCTGCCTTCGGCTCAGGTCATGATCCCAGGGTCCTGGGATCGAGCCCCGCATCTGGCTCTCTGCTCAGCAGGGAGCCTGCTTCTCCCTTTCTCTCTGCCTGCCTCTCTGCCTACTTGTGATCTCTCTCTGTCTAATAAATAAATAAAATCTTTAAAAAAATAGAAGTTTTAGGGGGGAAAAGTGAATGCGAGTTTTAAAAACCACCTCTTGAAAGCGATCCATGCCTCCTTACCCATCTGTGAAGAGGGGTATCATCTTCCCAGTGTACGAAGTGGGCACTTTGGCACAGCAGGGCACAGGGCAGCTGCGGGAGGCCTCGTCCTCACCAGGCAGCACCTACATAGATTTCCATGCAAGAACACATCTCCTGGAGCCCGGAGCCCCAGCATCGGAGATGGCCTGGCCGGTCTGCTCACATTCATCACCCAGCTGGATGTGTGACCTCAGGTCAGATCCCTAGAACCAAAGTCACGTGCCTTTACGACAGAAGTTGGTATCAGGGGCTGAACTTTTTCCTCCCTTGACAGCCATTCAAAAGGAAATCCGATTCCCCTGAGTGGAGAAGTGTTGGGACCTATGCCCACATGCAGCTCTGAGGCCAGAGCCGTCTCCCCAGGAAGGGTGGACATTGACCGCTGAATGATTCATGGTCTTCCCTGGGCCCCCACAGAGCACGCTGGAGGGGGGTGGGGGGGTGTCCACCTCACTGTTCCAGTGAGGTGCTCCTTATGTATGCTCAGGGAGCCCTTCCTCCAGGAAACGTCTGGCAGGAGGAGGCGGGTGGCACTGAGCCGTGTGTGTGTCCGTGTGCTTGTACACTGGGTCTCCCTGAGGCCAGCTCCCAGCTTCTGTTTTGCCAGGACCTCTTCCTCTTCCTTGTGTTGCTGGCAGGCAGGTCTGAGGACTTGGGGGGTGGGGGGAGTGGGGGGTTCCCGTGGGGCCAATCAAACGGTCTCTGCCTTCATGCGGGAAGGAAATCAAACATGAGCTAGCAGAAGGCAAAAGCAGAATTTGGTGAAGATGTGTACAGAGAGACACAGACAGCGTCCGGACGAGTGGGAAAGGAAAAGATCAGGAGTCTCGTCTTTGGGGATCTGAGGTTTTTACTGAGCATGGTGGTCTGATGTGTATGTCCCCTCAGATATCCAAAGATGAGAGCCTGGGGGTTACTCCTTGGAATCAGGGGGTCTTGGCGTCCAGATGTCTCGTCAGTGGTCTGATATATGCATGTGATGGCTTCCTCTCATCCCTCTCACCTGGTCCTTCCTTAGGTGTTATTCTAGAGAATCATTGATTCCTTGTCCCTTACAAGGAAGACGTAGCCTATTGACATTACCAAGAATGTGTAAAGTGAGGTGAGGGGTGCAGGTTCTAGCAAGAACAGAAACAGGATAAGAAGCAAAAGAAAAAAACAGCTTTTTTTTTTTTTTTTTTTCCATGGGGTCCCTTCTGTTTCTTTGTCTCACTGGCACAAATCCATCAGTTACAGAGTGTGGATGGACCAGAGCGCCCAGCTGGTCCAACTGCCCCCCAAAAATAAAGAGCCAGCAGAAGCACCCTGCTGGGGCGTTGCTGGGATCCCTGGACTTCTGACCTGAAGGGTGCTCACTCATCTTTAAACAAAAGAAAGAGAGAAAAAGAGGAGGAATGGGGATGGAAACTCTGACCATTATTCCGTCCTGTTCTCCGTAGGCATTTTACTTAAACTTGCTCTTGAGGAACTTGGCAAAGACACAGAAACTGATACTGTATAAATAACTACACTTGGTGCTTATCCCTCTGCCATCGCTTGGGATTCCCAAGGCATTTGGATCCTTTGCCCTCCAGGACCGCTGCCCAGAAAATATATGAAGATAGAGAGCCTAGAGGAATATTGACTTGGGCATTATCAGGAACATACGGTCCAGGTAGAAGGTCCCAGCTCGGCCCAGGAGCCCATCCTGCTGACCCAAGCTGACCTGTGTTTTGTTCGATTCACCTTTGGGGCTAATCCCCCTCTCAATTTCCACCATCCCCCTCTTATTTCCTTCAGCTCCTGCAGACCTCTGTCTTTGCCACGGGGTCTGGGAGCTAGCAGTATTCTTGACTGTGGCTGTCTCTCATCCCAGATGGGAACCTCTCTTACTGGGATCCTCAGGGCTGACAGCTGGAACTTCTCATCCAGCCAGGCCTGCATGGCATCTGCTGCCCAGGAGGCCCCATCCCTCCCCTTCTCACTCCGGGGTCCTCTGACATTCTCAGGATGACTTCGGACTTAGCATTGGCTTTGCAAAAGGCAGAGTCACCATTCTTGGCTTGTGGACATGCCGTGGGTTTTTGCAAACTTAACAAGTGATTCTGTAACCCAAGGGTTTTGAGTTTTCAGTACACACTCCTACTTTGCCAACCCTTTTCCTCCAGGCTTCCCCTCCCGCCGCAGATCAGGACAGTGGCTGCAGTCAGCCTTGTCCCTTGCACCGAAGGGGAGAAGGCTTGTGGTTCCCCTGAGGCGAAGCAGCATTCCCCTCCTGGAGCGTGCACACTGGGCTTGGGGTCCAGCAGCCTGCAGAGATTCCTTGCATCTCATGGAGCTCTAGGCTCAGAATTCCTTGAAAGCCATTTGCTTCAAGGCACAGCTGGGCTGCCCTTCTGCCTATCTCTTGCTCCTTGCCTTACCGGCTAACCCTCACTGGGCAGCAGTGAACTTGAAGGCAGACTGATCTTTTCTCTGGCAGAAACTGTGCTGCGAGGCTGGCATAGCCCAAAGGAGACATTGCAAACCGAAGGGTATCTCTCCCTCGGAGCAGCAGTTGGAAATGTGTTGATCTGAGCCAATAGGGGCTTGTACAATCAGTTCTCCTACTGAGAAACTAGAGGGGTGCCCCCCTGAGCAGAATGCCAGAGCCAGAGTCTCCTTAGAGTCCCTGGGGCACCAGCCTCCTTGCCACGTGGCCTCCAGCCAAGACCTGCCAATCTGTGAGGTCTTCTAGGCATTGTCTGCTGGGGTATTGTCTGCACTCGGGGTGCAGGGCTTGAACCGTGCATGCATTGCAGGGTCGGCCCCTGAAAGTGTCTGTATGACAGAGCACGTGAATTAGAGCAGAGCATGCCAGCAGCCCTGGGGTGCACACGTGTTCGTATGTACAAATAAAGGTCTGTTTGAGAGTGGTCAGCTTCACAGACCTAGGAACAAAGCCGCTTTCTCCTCTGAACTTAAATAATTTGGAAAAAAAAATATACAATTTGTAAATTGCCTGGACATACTCAAGGAGACAGCAACTTGGCTCAGAGGAGAATCTTTGTTTTGGAGCATTCTGTTCCTGGCAGATTAAAATGTGTCCTTTTTAAAAAGGAGAAGAAGAAGCTGGGCCAACTGAAGAAATTTCTATCTAGAGTCATGACTTTAAATGCTGTCTGAAATGTTCTTTGCGTGCATTTGGCCATGAAAAAAAGGAGGACAGACCTGAAATTCCTTTTTTCATTTCCTAGAATCCCTGTTCATTGCCTTAGAGACATCATGTAGAACAAGAGAGCAGAGGAGAAGAAGCCTGCCCCAAACCCAGCCTCCCTGGGGGTCACCAGGAAGGGTGACGCAGTCCAGCCAGCCCTTCTGAAGTGACTTCTGAAACACCTTCCACCAAAGGCCCTATGACCACATGAAATACTTCAGCTCCTTTTACGGGGCTGTGGGATCCTTTCTGCCCAGACAGCCTGTGGGGCGGCAAGAGTACTCAAAGCTAGGCTCCTCTCCACACCGGCCCTTTGAGCCTGGGAGCTCCCGGGAGCAGGGAGAGGCCCAGCAGGGTCCTGTGGTGAAGGAAAGCACAGGGTAGGAGCACAGGTGGGAGGCGAGTCTTAGTGCCACCATCTCCTCTTGACTCTGCCCCTCCCGTGGTTTCTGAAGAACCCTCCATGGCACCCTTGTTTGTTCTTTCCTTCCCCGGATGGCTCTGTCTTGGGCCCCTTTCTGTTATTTTCCCATCTTCTCAGGTGTCCTTTGTTTCGGAAAAACACAAGATGGGGCAGAAATGCTCTGTGTAACCAGAGCTCAGACGCCGGCCCCATGTGGGCCCCGCTGGTAATTCTGCCTGCCCGGGGGCCGCCCAGGGCCCTGGGCTAAGGGCTGTGACTCCTGGGTTCCCTCCTCACCTCCACAGGGGTCCTTTCTGCAACTTCAGTAAATACCTTCCTTTCCCCCTCCCCCACAGGGAAAAGGACAAAAAGTCCCTTCCCGTCGTGTGCTTCAAACACTGAGCCCTGTTCAGGGAGGTCAAATGACTCGGGTGATGGCATGGGTGTGGGTGGTTTTTCCTTCTGACAGCTCCTGGCATCGGAGCTCAAAGCGTTTGTGTCCCTAGCAGTTGCTGCCGTGATTCTGGGTCCGGTGAGGATGCAATATGGGACCCCCACAGCCCCCGGCCCCCATGGCTTCCTGAGACAGGCGTGTTGAGGAAAGGCTGCCAGGCCGCCTGCATGGAGGGCCTCCCACCTACCCTTACCTTACTCCTCTGCCTCTGCAGCTGCCCGCCCGCCCAGCAGCTCTCCTTCCTGCACATGGGCTTCCTGAGCAACCTCTACTTGCACACCCCCGACTGCCCAGTGGCCCTGCTCCGATGGCTCTTCCAGGTGAGGAGCACAGACCTGCCACTAGGTGGCGGGAGCACGCTGGCCGAAGAGCCTGGGCAGGAGTGGGTGGGGTGGGGGGGGATGGGCACGTCCCTCTTCTGGCCTTGGGTGCTGCTGGGTGTGTCCCAGCGGGGGCAAGAGGTGCGAGGGAGGCAGCCTGGGGATGCCCCCCATCATCACAGAGTCCAGGGACCAGCCCGTGGTCTCACTCCACTCACCACCAGAGCCTGGGCCTCACCAGGTATCGCCTGTAACCCCCAGAGCCCTCTGTGACTCCTGGTTACTCAACAGGAGCTTCCATTGTGTCCAGGCTGCTCCTCGCCCCTCCCAAGTCCCAGGTCCGGGCCCTGCAGCACCCTTAGAAGGGTGAGGGCCCTTGTGCGTTCACAGCTGGGTGTGTGCGCAGGTGTTTGAGCATTTGCCCCTCTCAGTGGAGTTGTAGGACCCCTGGAAAAGTCTAGAACAGCTACTCTGTGTCTTCCCCTTTCTCCTCCTCTGTCTGCTGAAACATTTTGCCTTGGGGTAACGTGCCCAGGGCTTAAAACCTCCACCCTGAGAAAGACAGAAACCGGCAGGAATAGTCCAGGGACAGGACCACCTGCTGTCATCTGCAACATGTGAGGATGCTGGCCTTGGCCCCTACCCAGAGCCATCCCTGCCTGGGGACGGGCAGGTCACAAGTTCCAGCTGGTGTCTTCCTGCCAGTTGGGGCCTGGACCCCAGCTGTAAATTAGAGCCACCATGCAGGGTGGGTTGTTCTAGGAACTCCCCAGCCTGGGTGGACTGGCTGGCTGCCTTCCAGAAAAGGCCCTCCTACTCTCTCCTCTCCCTTCTGGGATCCTTCCCATCATGCCCCTCCCTGCCCCAGAGGAAAAAGACACCCTCAGCTCCTGGGGCCCAAGAGTGTGGCTGCTGCCCTCCCCCAGGCCCAATGGGACAGGCAGACGGGAACAGGGAACAGTGCTGCCATTCTTCTCTACCCCTAGTCAGTGCAGTTTCTCTCTGTTCCTTGCACAGTATATGGCCAAATGCACAATCAGGCATTGGGAGGCACAAAGAGCCCATCTGAGATGTGGCCCACAGAGGGTCCTTGTGTGACCCTGACACTGCATGAAGTGCCTTCCCTGTCAGTCCTCCCGGGGAGGAGTGGGTAAGCCCTGCCCAGCTCTTCTCCCAACTCGGTCACCTCAGCAGGGGGCCCGTAGAACAGAGCACCCAGCCCCAAGGCCAGAGGGACACTAGGTGTGAGTTCCAGCTCTGCCCTGTTCTACCCTGTGACCCTGGATGAGTTATTTAATGTCCCCTCTTTGACTCAGTTTCTTACTCTGTAAACTGGGACTGACAGTCCCAGGTGACAACTAAATGAGGAATTCCTGTGACCTGCCTTGTCCTATGGGTCCCACCACAGTTCTGCCCAGGGCCTGGACGTCATCAGGAAGGGATGATGTTAGTGCAATGGCTCTGGTTCTCCGTCTTCAGGAAAGAGAAACAAAAGCTCCCCCTAACCCAATGGCTGAAGCCAGATAAGTGAAAAGGGTGCTCTTGGCCTTGGGAGCCTTCTGGGCAAGACTCTGCGCAACAGCTTCGTGTCCGGAAGGGGAAGGAGGAGCAGGGCAGCTGAGGTCTTACAGGCTTTAGCAGGATGGACTCCGCTATTTCACTTTGGAGGTTTTGCCTGTTGGAACATATCTTCCTATAGAAACAGTAGCATTCATTCATTCATTCTCAGGCTCGGGTTGAGTTCCTGCTACTTAGTAAGCTCTATAGATAGAAAGATCTTGGAAATGGTGTCCCAGGTAAATGCACAGAATATGGCCATGGTGCTCAGCCTACTTCAGAACCTCACATTGTTACTGAGGAGTATGGCTGGGAGAAGGCAGAAATCCTCAGGGGCTCCCTGAAGCTGTTGGTGGGATTCTCCTAAAGGTGCAGGGGTGGTTCCTGGAATCCAGGGGTAGGGATATGGCTGGGCTTCAGGAAAAGCTGGAACCACAATGGGGAAGGTTTAGGGTCCCAAGACGGGCTTCAGTTTCTCTCTATTTGCCAGGCTCCGTGGCCAAGTTAATTCCCAGGAAGGAGTCTTGTTGACCCAATAAAGGTTTAGTGACAATTCCCTTCCCCAGTCCAAGCAAACGCAGCTAGGTGTGGGGCTGCTGAGGGCTCATATATGTGCCTGGGGTTGATCTGGGAGCTAGAGGATGGGTGAGCTAGGCAGATATCTCCAACCCTACTCATTCAACTATTTTTTGGAGAAGGATATCCTGTGTTCCCATGGAGATTAAATCCTGCTCCCCACCACCTTCCCTCCTCCTAGTGGAGTGTGTGGTGGCCACTGGGTGAATAGGCTTTGGCCTTAGTACTCACGAATTCCTAAGCCGGTCACTGAAGCCCTAGTATATACCTGGAGCAAGGTGAGCCTTGCTGGGGAAGGTGAACAGAAGCAGGTAGCATATGCTGTCAGTGAATATATATTCTTGTTGGGAAAGGGTAGATACGTAGAAGTTACAAGAAGCTATGAGAAGAAGAGGAAAGCAGAGTTCTGGTTATCATAGGCCCAGATCCTTGAGACAATGACTCTGAGATGTATGTGGTTTCCCTGAGGTTCCCCGGGGAGGGTTCCCATAAGCCACACCTCCTGCAGAGGGAGAGCCGCTGGGAGAAGGGAAAGCCAAATGGCAGGGCAAATTCAACAGGCTACAGCCAGTTCTGCAGATGCTCTGGAAATGGGGCGACTTTAGAGTTGCTCCATTTGAGGCAAGGGGTCCAGGCCTTTGGATTCCAGTACCAATGGGGCCAGATAGCAGACTAAGGCTGCACTTGGAAAGGGAGCGTGACCTCGAGTGAGGCTCCCTTACTGCAAGGCCATTGCCCAGAGAGGGACTTGGCTCAGGGCTCTCATCAAGCAACAACCCAAGCCCCCGGAGATGAGAGCTTCAGGCCTGAAGAGGGGATGTGCCCAGAGTGTCCCCCACAGCAGGCTTTGCTTTGCACTCTCAGAAGGATGGTATAATATGCAGCATGGCTGACCGCGGCAGGAACAGGGCCGCCAAGGCGCTGCCCCATCTCTAAGGCCTGGCCTCATCGGTGTGTCCCCAGGCTGGATGGCTTTTTGGGGGTAGGGTGCTGTCCCGTTGTTCATCTCCACGTCATGTTCTCTCCACATTCCAAATCCTCACTTGATGACCCTCAGACTCAAGGAGCATTCAGATGAGTCAGATCCCAGTGAGTCAGATTGGTGACCTGCCCCCCGACACCAGGTTATTTGAGGGTTGGTACTCAGTACCAACTCCTTCCCAGAGCATGGCCTAAGATGATTTTAAGTTAAGGCAGTGACCTGGAAATGATGTAAGGATCATGGACAGTAGCTGGCTTGTCATTGTCCAGCTGAGTGTACTTCCTGCTTTCGAGCTGTGTCTCTTCCTCACACTGGTAACTGCCGTGGAGGGCCATGGCTGTGGCCACAGGGCATGAGGGGTAGAAAGACGAAAACTCTCACGCAGGGAGGTGGACAGAGTAGGAGATTTCAAGTCACAGAGGCCTGGGATTGAATCCTGGCTTTGCTCCTTACTGGCTAGGTGTCCCTAGGAAGCTGCTTGAGCCCTCTGAGTGTGATTTCCTCACCTGTAATATGTCAGTAATGGCAAGATCCTTCTACCACGTGGACTTGTGAGGGTTAAATGGGATTTATTTAATATGGAGTAGTAAAGGTTTACTACCATTATACCATACTGCTATTATACCAGCTAACCTAAATGGCATTTTTGTTTTTGTTTTTCTCCTAGCTGTTGACATGGCCTCCAGAAACTTCTTTGGGAGCCTTCAGTCTCCTATGGGATCTCAGCGTGGATGGGCTCTTCCAACAGTCTGGTCAGTACTAGGGAGCAGGGTGGAGACTTGAGTGCTGAGTAACCCAAGCCCGAGAGCCTGCGTAGTACACAGCTCTCAGCAGCCGTGGAGCCCAGCATGCAGGAGAGGTGCTGGTGGGGACTTTGCGTCACCACGACACGGAGACATCAGGCCATCTTTGGCTCTGGCTCCAGCATTAGTAAAAAGCTGAGCCAACAGGCTCCTTGGCACCTTGATCTGGCTTCAGATCCATGTCACTGTGGCCAAGTCCAGGCTGACCTCACAGACTCTTGGGATCCTAGAACAGTCTGGAAGTTGTGTTTTCTGGATTTAAGGGGACAGCTTGCCTCTGGGTTCTTCCTGAGAGTCCCAGTTTGCTTGCAGCTGGGGGGCGCGGGGGAGGGGTATTTCAGGAACATCTGCATCAACTCAGGGAAGCTCCTTGAGCTGGAGTCACAAAGGGGAAGGGCCTTAAAAGCTGTGCCCCCACTGGCAGTCCCCCTTGGCTCCTAGGATATCAGAGGAGCCCCTTAAGTTTGGTCTGGGCGAAAATGAGAGCCTTGAGTCTATACCTTGGTCCTGGCATCGAAGGGGTGATTTAAGTCATCTTTATACTTAAGGATGTTCAGAGCTCCATAGAGCAATCAATTTTCCCTTTAGTGGCGGCACCTTCCTAGGCTGTCCTCATTTGGTACCTGAACCTAGACACTTTGGCACCAAAAAATATCATGTAGCCAGCAGAAAGGTGCTTACAGCAGACTGGGAGAGGGATTCACAGGCATCTAGACCCCACCTTTCCCCACAGCTTTAGTCTGCCCACACTCCCACTAAAACGCAAAAGCACGTACGTAGCTCGGAAGGCCAGAGTTAGAAACCTGTGATGCACCCTCAAGCTCCCCCCCAGCCCCGCCCCAACCAGCCCTTCAGATTTCTGCTTTTGTGCCTCTTGTACTTCAGGAATTGGCTGAGCGGAGGCCCATCTGTCAAATGAGAGCATTCCAGACTCCTCCTGCTCCCCCATCCCACACCCTTTACCCCCCGATCTGTACGCTGGGACCCTTGCAACTGAGGTCTTCTGAATAGCACCAGTCCTGGCATCCACATCCTTTTCATAACCTCTGCCCCTGCAGCCTGGGCTGCCCTTTCTTGAGCGTCTAGGGCCTCCTCTGCGGCATGCCTGCCCTTTTGGGAACAGAGGCCTTCCTTGTCTTGCTCTTCTCCTCTGTGTAGTGGTATGTGTCTCCTCCCGCAGGGGCAGAGGGGACATCCCACTCTTCTTTACTTCTTGCCACATTGTCCCTTATTTGCCTTCTGTCGGGAGGGACCAGGAACCTGCTCTCGAGTTCCCAGCCGGTTCAGCTCTGGCTCGCATCACCTGCAAGCCCAGCCTAGGCTTCTCTTTCTCTCCCACTGGAATAGAGACTGGCCTAGAGAATTCCATCCCCAAGGTCAGGATCTTGACTGATTTGGGGAAAGTCAAAGGCCAGGTCTGCAAACGAACCGAAAGAAGGGACTTAAACATATTTGTACCCCCACATTTGGAGTAGCATTAGTCACGATAGCCAAAAGGTGGAAGTAACCCAAATGTCACTGAAAGATGAGTGAATAAACAAAACATGATATACACATGCAGTGGGATACTATTTAGTGTTAAGAAGAAGGGAAATTCTAAAAAAAAAAAAAGGAAATTCTGACACATGTTACAACGTGGATGACCTTTGAGGACCTTACGGTAAATGAACAAGCCAGGCACAAAAGGACAAACACTTTCCACTTATCGGAAATACCTACGGGCATCAAATTCATAGAGGCAGAAGGGTAGAATGGATGGAGAGTTCGTGTTTAATGGGTACAGAGGATGAGATAGTTCTGGAGATGGACGGCGGAGGTGGCCGCCCAACAGTGGGAGTGTACTTAACACAACTGAGCTGCACACTTCCAAACGGTTAACATGGAAAACTTTATGTTACGTGTTTTTTTGTTTTTTGGTTTTTTTTTTTTAACCAAAATTAAAAACAAGTTTAGAGACAAGAACTAGGTACCAGCAGAGAATCTAGCAAAAGCTGGAACTAAAAATCAGCCACAAGTTCAATAAGCATGTGCAAGGTGAGGTTAGAGCCAGGATTTATATAAAAGGAAGTCCTGCTACTCAGGATTTGTTAGCAACTTGAGGTGCTCCGCAGGACCCCATCCTCTGTGGGACACAGCCCCCCGGGGCAGAGCCTTGAGCTGCCTTCCCTCCCATTGGGACTATGATAGCTGTATGTGTTTTCAGGTTGCCTGGCCTTTTGGAGATTTGCATGTGTATACATTTCCATCCTTTCCTGGATGGGGAAGGTTTTAGAATATTACCTGTATACCAACATGCCTCCCAAGTAAAGGGATTGCTGAGGCAGGCCGAGGCTTCAGAGTGGACTGTTACAGGTGTACTCCGGGTCACCAGGGCTGAGGGCTGAACAGAGTTCAGGTCCAGGGGTCACTGAAGTTTTGGGGTAAGGTGGATACTATTGTCCTAGTTTGAGAAGAAGCACAAGTCACTGGTTAAAAGCTCCTTGGTGAGCTTGGAGAATGGGATATTTCAGAACACTGACGTTTTTCACTACAGGGACTTTTCTTATTTAGGAAAGATGCATTGAGTGTGTCCTGTATTCGGTATTTTGCTAGATGGCAGAGGGAGATTCAGGGATGAATAGGGTGTGGTTCCCGCCCTCAGAAGGATGACGGCCAAGTGAGAGAGGACGGAACGCACAATTACGACAGGAGACGGACACAGCCACAAAACTATGGGAATTCCAAGGAGAGGAAGATTACTTCTAGCCAGGTGGGGTTGAGGGTGCAGGGAGGCTGGAGACAGGGAGGGCTTTGTAGGAGAGAATACAATTGATTCATCTCTCCAGAGATGTATAAGGCAGGGATTGTAAACTCATTGGCCTGTGGGGACCAAGCAAGTCTATGACTAGAAAGGTCTTACCCTAAGAGGCTAGTAAGTCTGGTCTTGCCAGATCTCTGTTTTCAAGAGAAGCCGTGTTTTAGTTAAGATGTACTTTTACTATAAACAACAATTAAGAGAATTAAATACCCAATTAAGAGAAGTTTATTATCTCACATGACAAGAAATCCAGAGGTGGGGGGTTCTATGGTATATTAGCAGATCTGCAGTATCAGGGCTCTGGCTTAGCTTCTGTGTTTCCCTTCTCACTACTACTACTCCTGAAGGTTGCAAAATGGCTGCCATAGCTCCAAGTATCATCATGTTCTCCTGACACAGCAGTTCAAGGCAGAAAGAAGGGTAGAGGAGACGAGGTCACTCCTTCTCGTACTTTTCTCTCTTTTTACCAGGACACTCCATTTTGTCTCATTAGGCAGAACTGGGTCACAGACTTTAGAGCTAGACACTTGCCATGTTTTCTGACTGTGTGATGCCCTTGAACACCCTGCTATGTTTGAAGAATTTTTAGCCTCATGATCCTACCCCTCTGGGGTAGAATCCTGGAGACTCACTCTTCCAGCCTCCTTTCAAATATTTGAATTTTTGGTTTTGGAATTTGCAGTTAGTTCTGTATAATTTTTTTTTTTTTTTTACAGTTTCTGTTTCTCTACTGGGATTTCTCATTTGTTCATTCAATATGAGCATCCTTTCATTTATCACTTTGAGCATAGCTATAATAGCTGCTCTAAAATCCTGGTCTGTAATTATAACATCTGGATCATCCAGTTCATTAATATGGAAAATTAAGTATGAAAATGAACATTTGTTTAGAATGAGTAGAGAAATCATACCAAATACTGTACCTTGGAAAGTTCAGGTCCCATCTCCTGGATATCTTTAAGGTATTTTCCAGAAACGTTCACGTAGAAATGACCACTGATTGTAGCTTGGCTTCCCTTTCTAACCTAGAACATTCACAGGGGGCCGTGCAAGGGAGGGCCCCAGCACTTAAGCTACATTAACTTGATGGTCAGTTGGCTTCCGACACATAATAAACCGTTTTCTGTTCAAACAGCTAGAGCTTTCTTCTGTTGCCTGTGGCTCAGAGCTCTGACTGCTCAAATAGCTACCCCAGATCAGTCCCCGCAGAGGTAAGTGGGATAACATGGTTCATTCACTGAGGTGGACTGGGTTCGGTTCCCTTAACAGGGAGGAAGAGGAGCGTGGCCGTTGAATCAGCAGCCAGCAGAGTCTGCCTTAGCCAGAATACTGACATTCATGTGAAATCTCCTCTTGGTAACTAATTCAGTTAAAAGATCAAACACCCAAACCCCCACTGTGAACCCATCTGCAGGCTAGATTCAACTGGAGATGGAATACAGCTCCACTGGTTTGTAGCCCTGGGGTTAGGATTCAGGTGTGGAGAGATGCAAGGGAAGCAGGAATCAGTGGGAACAAAGACAAGGAGGAGGGGAGAGTAGAACTTCCTTAAAGGGGGCAGAGTTGGGGATAAAACTGGACGTTTGGGGACAGATCTTGGAGGACAGTGGGGGCCATTGTAGGCATAGTGAAGCTTTATTAATATTTATTAAGACTGGTACAGAATTGGAGTTGTTTAGATGTAATTCACACGCCATGTAATTCACCCTTCTAAAGCAGATGATTCGATATGATTCATAGAGTTGCTTAACCATCACCACTATCTAATAATTCCCAAACATTTTCATCACCCTAGGAAAAAACCTCATACCCATCAGTGGCCGCTCCCCACCCCCAATCCTCCTAGCCCCTGACAACCCCTAATCTACGTTCTCTATGAACTTGCTTATTCTGGACATTTCACATACAATATGTGACCTTTGGGGGTTTTTTTCCTTAAGATTTTATTTATTTGAGAGAGAGAGAACAAGCAGGGAGTGGTAGTGCAGAGGGGCAGGGGGAAGGGGAGAAGTAGACTCCTCTCTGAGCAGGGAGCCTGATGTGGGACTCAGTCCCAGCACCCTAGGATCATGACCTGAGCCAAAGGCAGACGCCCAACGGGCTGAGCCACCCAGGTGCCCCAGTATGCAAACTTCTGTGTCTGGCGTTTTTC